CGGATTATTTTATTCACAGTTGTAATATTTCAATCAAATAAAAATAAACCTAGCGCAAAATTAATTCATTGTAAAAACGTTGTAATGTGTCATCATGGAGCTAAAACATGGAGTTAATTCAGTAAAAAGTAAACTTTCTAGTCTTATCAAATGCAAACGCAGAAGCCGGTCGTCTATGAACCAACGTGGAGTTCTGCTACTACTCGTAGTTTGGTCGAGGCGGACGTGGACGTGATTACGCTTGCCAAAACGGGACGTACAGAGCGGTCTCATCAGTATTTTAGACCGGCTTGCTAAAATAAAAACTACCTCTAATCAAATCGCAATCTTGCATTTACAGGCGTGCTACACTAGTTATTATATAATGTTAGCTATATACATGTTCACTGATTCAAAATACCCAGGCTACGTGCGCCCTCTTCGGTTATATATTTGTAACCTGAATTCCTATGTACGTTCTAACCGAGCCGAACCAATCACACGAACAGAATTTATAAACTACACAGGTTACCTGCAACCTTGGTGCATACTGTAAGTGTATAAATTAGTCAATGGTCTCTAATTTCGCTATTTTCACAGATAAGTGAAATTTGCCAAATTAAATTCATGTGAACATGTAAATAACAATATAATCATTGTTTGCTTGAATTCTTAATTTAACATTATGTAATTGATCAACACATCAATATAGTGAAAATAAATAGTTTTACAGTCGTACGGTTGTCGACATCGGTGTACAAGAAATACACCCAAATCATACCCCGCTATAAGATCAAAAGAGGTTTCAAGAAATAGTATTTTTTCCTCTTATATTATTCGACAATATTGAATAACTAATTGGGAGATTTGCTAACACAGTAATAATTATCAAGATATCATCAGTGTAAACTGCACAATAATTGGTACCATTAATGCAATGTCATCAGAGCATGTACTATATCAAGTCAAGACGCTACAAAATAATTCGATCAGTTCATCTCGGTACTCTCAGATTTATGATGGAATATACAGCCCTGTCACTCTTAGTAAGCAGGTACAGATTCCTACAAAATAAGGTTTCACTCCGTAGCACCGTCCCAGTGAAATGAATAAAGCTGGTGTCATGACAACTGAAATCATTTTAAGACTAGTAATGTAACAGGGGATACAATCCATGACCGCACTTTTTGAAGGGTCACATCATTAATTACTCATTTGGGAATCACCTCTGTGTGTATATAGTGTCACACCAATGATATAGTATATTTTTTCAGGAAATAAGGGGTAACCAATTTGAAATCTGAGGGGCACTGAACGGTTTTGTAAAGAAATTGATATGGTCGGAAATCAAGGAAAAATATTTTACAGGCTCAGAAGTAAGAAAAAACTTCTAAATAATTCTCAGAAATATATACTCCAAGACAAAATCCCTACAGGTAGTGTGAAAAAGAGTATTCAATTGACCAATGTCCTCTACAGATTTTAAATGAAATCTTCTAATCAGAATCATAGTCTCTTCACTACTGTAGAGTGACTGTGTCGGAAAGCATCGAAACATGTATCTAATTTCACATGCTTTTTATTATTTGTTGAAAAATGTGTATTTTGTATTTCTCAAGAAGGGGGTGTGAATTAATGAACAACGTTCACTGCAAATTAAGAATATGAAAATGTGTGTCAAATCTTTGGTTAAAGCAACACTGTGATAACACGGTCAAACAATTGCAGTTTTCACTGTTTTCTTGTTTTCTTCTAATCTGCTTTTAATCAAACAAATAATCGATATTACTTTATTTAAATGCGACTAGATTAAGTATCAAAGCTAATGCTACAGAGGAAATACCAAATAGCATTTTGCGTTTCTGACATGTACACATGCGCATATAAGCTTCAAAGGCAGCGTACGCGGTCAGAAAAGGAAATGGTAACGAGATTTCACCAAAATTACTTCAAAAAATATTTGACTCGAAAATAAAACCAATTTTAAACTATGGAGCGGCAGTTATAGGAAATCGGTATTGTAAACCAATTGAAGATGTTCAGTTAAAGTGGTGTAAATATATATTAGGTGTGGGGCAAAATACAACCAACAGTGCAGTTATGGGTGAACTCGGACGATATCCACTTAGTATTGGCAGAAATCTAATCCGTATTAAATTTTGGAAACGTATTCTGAAAATGTCATCTAATCGTCTCGTTTACAAAGCCTATAGAGAGTCTGAAAAAATGGAACAGATAGGAAAGCCATGTTTTGCTTTAGCTATTAAGAAATTATTAATTAAACACAATATGCATACTGTTTACAATATGCATACTAAGTTTATCCCCCAAATTATCGATGAAACAACGTTGTTAATTGGAAAGAAAGAGAGAGATTGTTTTTTCAAAAGTTGGAAAGATGCTTTATTTGACGATGTTCGTAGATCCCCAAACAGTAGAAATAAGTTACGAACGTTTTGCCAATTTAAAACAAATATGTTTTATGAGAATTATTTGGATATCGTTTGTGTTCCCCTGTACAGACAAGCTTTAACTAAACTCCGGTGCTCTAATTATAAGTTACACATTGAGACCGGTAGATATTATGGAACTCCAGTGGAAAATAGAACCTGCCAAATATGTAAAGATGCTGTTGAAGATAAAACTCATTTTCTGGTAGTTTGTCCAGCATATAACCATATTCGAAAACCGCTTTTTGATCGAATTAACCGCATTGAACCACAATTCGAGTTCCTTTCGCCTATCCGTAAACTTACATATATTTTTTCTCAGGATAACCATGAAATCATCCAAATTATTGCAAGATTTGTATACTCAGCTTTTCAGATTACATATAATTTGTTAGTGTGAGTTCTCCAATAGATGAGTTGTATATGTGTGTGTATGTGTATATATACATAATACTTTATTTTATTGAGGCGATTAAAGTCACGCCTGTAACTTTCGCATTGTAACCTGTTCCCCCAGGTTAGTGGGGTATATTTCTTTAGAGAAATGGAAATAAAATAATAATAATAATAATAATAATAATAATAATAATAATAATAATAATAATAGTAATAATAATAATAATAATAGTAATAATAATAATAATAATAATATAACAGCGATAATATTTAGTGTTTATTATTAACTGTTTCAGCATTAGACGTTTTGGTTAACTGTAAATCGTTTTTTATTTAAGTCAAAAATAACATTTCAACAGTATTTTGCATAGATCACAACGATAACACTTTCCTGTGCTAAAAATTATTTCACACCGCCCCACCTCGGAATTTTTCCTGTGAGTACAAGTTGCATATCATTAGTTCCGTGGTATATTTTAAATTGTGGGTCAAGATAATAATTTATGATTAATTTGTTTGATTTGTTATTTATTTATCTGTTATGACGTTGCATCACCCGTCGACCTAATAACCAACCATAATTAAATTATGTTATCATTTTAACACCTGTTTTCAAGACAATTTGTTACAAAACAGATTTCATAGCACACCCATTCGAGGATTTCAACAACGCCATGGAGCAGATATTCTCATCATTGTGCATGTTGATATTTGTCCAATGTTTGCAGCATGGGGCTGCCCAGCGTGAGTAAACCCAGATTAGTTGTGTACAATGTGTTCGTTCTATTTTGCTGTTCAGTCAGATGCGAAGGTATACCTAGTACGTCAGTAAATGTCATGTTCCCGAGAGTGTTCATCCAAATACAATGAATAGATAATGCAATTACTAAGTATTGATTTCCGTTGTTGAATATTGTCAACGTGAAGACAACATTGTACGGAGTGTTAATACATATTACATGAATTGACCGACACGAAGGTCGAAGCTATTTCGTACCTCAGGGCTGAATGAGTTCGATTATTATTATTTTTGAGGAAAATAATAACAGTAAGTCCTAGGGATTTTCGAACCTCTGCCAATCAAATTCAATATAACAAAAAAGAAAGATATCTATTTTATCACCATTTATTTTCTAGACGCGCCATCAACATATGGGGTATGTGCTCTTCGGCTTATTTTTTCAGTTCTTTTCGATACATATTTGATATACGTTATTTGCTGTCATATTAGCATAAATAACACAGGTGTGTTTATGAGCAAAAATTACCATATTTGTACGATCTAGTATACATGCAAATGTGCTCATATTGGATATGCGCTTCTACTAAAGCAAATATGGTAAGTTATAAAAACAATCTAAGAATACGTGTTATCCAGCGTTGGCGTTTTTTTAATTTCGGTCCTAGACACTCAAATACCGCCATGAACCCTACTATAACAAAATGGGTTGGCCGCACAACAAATTGATGTGCACTGTTTTTGAATAAACAGATAAACCAAACACAAACTATAAATGACTAATGACTTGGTTTTAGAAAGCCATAACAGCAATGAATGTTTACATCCAATATTTTTCATCAATACAATTTTCCAGCCATATATTGATTGGACTGGAAAGCTTTTAAACTGAGTGAAATCTACACATTGAATGAATGCATAAAACACGACATAGATGCATAGTGTTTGACTGTAAATATCTCAATTACACTTCTGATTTGGCACGGTTGGAATAAATTCGAATTTAGGTTATTGAAGGTGCGCGATCTTACACTTCCACCCTGACTTCTGACAACACTACTCAGGGCTACCCAATGTTTGTTTATGGATGAAATTGAGAGAAAGATGTTTGACTCAAAATACCGGACACTTTTGATTTTGAGATCCATACATTTGGTCGTGTATTGTAATATGTAGTCCTTTGTTTGTTCTCTGGTGGTCTTCCACTTTACGAATTATTTATTTCAGTATATATTAAGTATGACGTCATTTCTACCTTACGCGAAGTTTTCGGTACACAGTATATATCCATACTCATACATAAAATGTGACTACTTATTTTGATAGCTGCCGACGTATGGTACGAACAAGCACGTCAGACCCTGGATCATGCAATTAGTTTAGAGAATCTGAACACCAATACAGCAAAAAATATTATTCTTTTCCTTGGTGATGGTATGGGCGTTACGACTGTGACGTCAACGCGCATTAAGAAGGGGCAAGAAAAGAATGAAACTGGGGAGGAATATATACTAAACATGGACAAGTTTCCCCATGTAGCTCTATCCAAGGTGAGTTATAACTTGGAAATTAGTTTCATTGCCCAGACCCAAATTTTCTAAATTGTAGCACCCCTACAACAAAGGTTTGCGATTTAGCCCAGTTGGAATCATTTGTCCGCGGGCCTTGGTATTGTACATTTCAATATAATAATTTTGAATTATTATTTTAAAAAGTCAGCATACGTAAATGCAATATTTTCAAATAAGGCGTTTAATTTGTATATGTTAAATTTCTCCATTGTTGCGACATTTTACCGAAATTGAATTCCAATAGACTTACAATACTAACTATCAAGTCCCGGATTCAGCTGGAACTGCTACAGCATTTTTATGTGGTGCCAAAACTAAGCGTGGAATGATTGGTCAAGACGATACGGGTACCAGAAGCGATTGTGAAGCAAGTCTGGGATCAGATATTCCATCAATTCTTGAAATAGCTCAACAAGCTGGTAATCAAATATTATAGATTTTTTAAATTCATATTTAAGTACAATGTGGTGATTTAGAGATTGTCTCACATTGCATCAACATTACTAGTACTATTTTAAAGGGCGGTAGTCGTCGCGCCACGCATGCGCGAGATATATGGATCTCATATAAACAAAGATGGCGTTTTTGACTATTGCGAAGATCAACGAGTACAAACTGAGACGTTACCAAGTTTTAATTATTTTAGGTCAAACCTCATACATACTTAGAAGAGCGCATTGGATTGTGAGAAAATCAATGTTTATCAACACAAATGTCGCACATGCGCAGCGCGACGACCACACCCTAAAATTATGATTATGTACTTTTATTTATTATTTATTCTACTATTTTATGAACTATGAGTAAAAATTACACACAATGTAACAAAAATATATATATCTTTTAGGTAAATCCGTTGGAATTGTGACAACAACTCGCCTCACCCATGCCACCCCCGCGTCTGCCTATGCACATATTCCTGACAGGTACTGGGAGGCTGATAGTGATATTCCTCTCGAAGAGCAAAATAAGGGTTGTGATGATATTGCCCTGCAGTTCATACAAAATCCTGGCATACAGGTAAGCGCCGAACAACCGCTGTGACCCTATTGCTCTGTACTTCGTTCAAAACACTGCATGTTGGTATTTCTGAGCAATGGTTGATAATGCCATGTAGTTTTTTCAGAATACCAATATACAGATATGTTTTAAGAATAGTCAATATAAGGTATATTTTCACAAGAATTGTATTTTATGTTATGGCAAATTTGTTATTCGAGAATATTAATTTTTACTCAACAACACTTGTTTACATCACTAGGTTGCTCTTGGAGGTGGACGGTCGAAATTCACACCGACAACTTTGGATGATCCTGAAAACCCGATTACAAAAGGCGACCGTGATGATGGACGAAACTTAATTAAAGAATGGCTGGAAAGCAAGCCTGAAGGAACAGCTGAATTTGTATGGAACGAGGCAGACTTTGATTTGGTGGACCCAGCTGAGACGGACTTTTTATTAGGTTAAGTCAGCAATAGTAATAAGTTTTTTGAGATTTATATAGAGTGACTGTGCGAAGCTGAACACAAATTATAGCGCCTATATCATTACCCGAATCAAATACGACGATTATAGGGATTCGTTATTGTTCTTATAATTCACCACCACCAGAATTACATGAATTTAGTTAAATCTGTAGGCTTTTTGCTGGAATGAATTTACTTTCGAATAGGAGATTATATTATCACACGATAGCCATGACGTCATACAATTGTGATAATGGCGATTTATTATAATTTATTACCATATTTATTATAATCTATTACCATAGTGTATATAAATTGCAACCATGGTATATATCATTTACTTCTATGATATACAGTGTATAAATATTGTAACCATAGTATATATCAATTACTGCTATTGTATACAGTGTATAAATATTGTAACCATGGTATATATCATTTACTGCCATTATATACAATGTATAAATATTGTAACCATGGTATATATCAACTACTGCTAATATATACAGTGTATAAATATTGTAACCATTAAATATATCAATAATCAGCATGGTGTATATCAATTGTAACCATAGTATAATCAATTAATCCCATGGTGCAAAAGGTATATTAATTACAACCGTGGTATAACGAGACAAGGGTTTACAATATTTGTTTTTTCAGGTCTGTTCGCTGCTAGTCACATGAGTTATGAGAATAGCCGACTTGATGACAATGCCGGGGAACCACACATTGCTAGCATGACAAATAAAGCCATCAAGATCCTGGCAAAGAATCCTGAAGGATTTTTCTTACTAGTTGAAGGTGCCACAAATTAATTTTTCTTAAGGCTACGAATCGAATACAAATGGAGAAAATTTATGGACGACGTCAAAAGATCGATGTCGGATAAAAAAACTTAATTCCTTTAAGTTTTTTTCCAAACCCCCT